TAAACTACAGCACATACCAGCAGCAGAAATCTGTGCTTTAGGTGTTTGCTTGGTTGGATGCAGCCGTATTGTGGTCCCTCATTATAGATGGTCCCTGTTGGGTCAAAAAAGGGCACGTAGCCATCCTTCCCAGTACAGAGGTAGACCTTTTCAAGCTGCAGTTTGTAAGCTGAGTTGAGATTTTGTTCAGGATGCCACATGACTCGGCCATATAGAATTTGACCTGAAGAAAGGAAATACATAAGAGTGAGGATAATGCAAGCTGCCAATGGGTGTAAAAAAAAGGAATTATTCAGAGTAAAGTTTGCTTCTCTAGTTTTCTTGTCATCAGATTCAAGTGACCCTATGGAAGTCCTGAAGCAATGGGCTGGATGCTGGCCGTTAAACTGAAGCTGATTTCTGAATATGGAGGCACTATGGATTGGTGCTTCCTGAGTGCAGGAAATTGGTGTGCAGTCTGTTTCAGATGGGGCAGAACTAAAAAATATAGCCGTGTTAGTCTGGTAGTATCTTGTTTGAAGGGGCAAATGTGTTGTCCTTGATCCAGCACTAAAAACCATGCCCTCAGTGGCCAGATATATTCATGGTTTTTCCACTTTTGCAGGGTCCTGTACCCCTAAACCCTGCAAATCTTCAAAAGCGAGGCTTTTTTTCATCATGACTCCTCTACTTTCAAATGGCCTCATAAGAGAAGTTCACTTATTGCCTCCACTGTATTCTTATTCATGGTGCCAAAGAAAAACATGTTCATTTGCAAAGATATTACACTTTATTTTAAAATTTGAATATGTATTGCTTTCATGTTGGTTCACATAGTTTTAAGCCTCTCAACTGCACTGTGCATGTTTAAAGCTTTCTTCTACTGAATTTTAATTTTTTTAAACACACCACTCTGAAATCCTCTCTGTGGTATATAAAATTTTAAACTAACTCAACTAATTAAATGAATGAATTTAGACCTCTGCAGGCACCTAAAGCAATTTTAGCTGAGTTGGCCTGCCTGAATGTAAAGGGCTTTTTCAGATGGACCTAAAGAAGTGAGAGTTTTCAAGATATAGTGTTTTATGTTTCGCCAAGTCTTGCTAGTTATTATCATCTCCATGTTCATTTGTTCCATTCTTTTGGTGGGCTGTTCAAAGTAATTTCTTGAATCTGCACTAGGCTCTTTTAACATTTTCCTAAATTTGGGACATTGGTTTGCTGAGATGGGCCTATGGATTGAAGGGCAAATTTTCCCTCTGAATTTTTTCTTCTTCTCTTCTTAGAGTTACACAGTGCCATTTCATTGATGCGCTATAGCACTATAATGCTAAAACAAATTAAAAGAAAAGAAGGAGAAGGAGAAGCAAAGAAAACATAATGTTCTCATATTGTTGGAATTAAAAAGAAACCCACTTGAGGGTGAGAATAAAATGCTACAGCACATACTAGGAACTGTCAAGAAATAATCCAGGACCACAGAAACTTCATCTGGATTATCTAAAAAAAAACAAAAAACCCAAGAACCACAGCTACAAATACCACAACCTCCCGACACATTTGATCCATCTGGAGGACACCAAAGACTTTCTCATTATTCCAACACCATTCTTGCTTTAAACTTGGTGGTAGGAGAGTATTAGGCTCCAGCAACTCATGTTCCATTGCCTTTACAATGCAATTTAATCTATGGGCATATCAGTTCAGCACACTTTATATCACCCTACCTGGTGCCTTTTGCAATTCTGTGGGATGTAACAGTACTTGTTTAAGAATATGCCAATCCAATAAGGAAACACAAATCATACCTTTTGAAAAAGCTCCTTTGTAGTCCATCTCTGCCATTGACATTTCTGATTTAGTTGGATCCATCAAAAACACTTTCTCATTATTGCAGAGCTGAAACTCAGTATTCAGGGAATACACAACAGGCACTGGCCTGTTAGTTTGCTGAAAGGCAATTGGGATCAAAAATCTAAAGGGGGGATAAAGGAAATAAAGAGAGTTGGCCAATAAAAGACTTTCAGAATCACATCAGAGAGCCTCAGGCATGCATTTCCACTAATACTGGACTTTTGTGACTTTTGAGAAGCCTCATTCCTCCTACACTTGCAATTCCAACATGGCTTCCATTAAAAGGGCAATTAGCAATCTAAGACTGATCATCATGAGTTGTATGGAACCATCTTTTCTATAGGATGGGGTCAGGAAAAAAAGAACACATTGTCTCACAGAAGGGGATGAGGAAGCTGTGGCCCTCAATTTGTTAACTCCAGTTCCCATCATCTCCAACCAGCATGCCAAATGTTTAAGATCCTGGGAGTTGTACTCCAATTACATCTGGAGGCTTGTGAGTGTGTCTTAGGAGTGGCTGATGGCTTCATTGTCACAGGGGCTGTGAATACACTCTTGGTTTTATGGCTGCTCCTCCCATAGCTGTTTAAGACTATATGGGAACTGTTGGACATAGGGGTGAAGAGAAAAAGTTAGAAACTGACCATAAGGTGGAGTCTATGGGGCAAAACAGATGGGCAGGAAAAGGTGGCTTGAAGCTGCCTTTTCTGAAGCCACAATGAAACCCCACTAACTGCACCGCTGGCTCCCAAGATGCAGTTAGAGTGCACGTCATGACCACATGGCATGGCTTCAAGCCATACCGCTGAGTACTTTTTTCTTTTTACTGTTCCCACCACCATCTCTGTGCATATTCATAGGAGTGCACTGCTAGTGACTGCCATCCCATTGCATGGGTGTCCCTGTGAACCTGCAAACATTTGCATGTGCAGCGCTTCACTGGGACAGGGCATCAGAGCAGAGGTGTGCCCATGCAGATGCCAGCAAGATACAATCATGCCTCCCTTCATCCCCTCCTTCACCCTATGTCCCCTCTTTGACTGTCTGTTTTGTGTATGTTCTACTCATCTCCATGAGAGGTTCCAAGGTTTCTCTTTTGGGCATTCCCACCCCCACGACTTGTGTATGGCAGCTCTGTTCCTTTTAAATGTGCTCCTGTAACAAGGCATTTACATGTACAATTAGGGTTAGGGTTTGGAAAGAGCGCCTCTTTAGAGCCACACTGGCATTGGTGCATTTATATATACACGTGAAGGTGTGCATTTTCTGGGAAGAAGTGGAAAAAAGCAGCTTCTTTTTGAAGTGGCTTTTCTCCCCATAAGATGGCTAGAAGGCACTTTCCGGCTGACTTTAATTCATGTGTCATCTAAATGCCCCACCTTGAAGCTGGCCTGAAACCTGCTTATTTTGCCCATCTGCCCTTAAGTAAGCTGGAGCCATGGTAAAGAAAAGGCACAGAATATGTGGTAAGCTTTCTGTCATATCAAATTAAATTTAACATATGCGAAACGTTCTAAACCATATTCTAAAACACTCTGATATATTCTACTGATGGCCATTCTCTTTTCCTACTACCTTTTACTTTGCTGAGCATTATCATCTTTTCTTCAGGTCTTAACAAGCAAATATAATATCCATTTATAGTGAAATGATAAAAATCCAGATCTATACTTATTTGGGTAGGAATGTTACTACCAGGCATATCACAAGTTCTTCCCCTATCTATTTGCACTGTTTAGCATTCCATCTCAGGTTTTTATGCTCCTACTCATTGCTCTCTTTATTTATTTTTGCTTTAAGACAGGGTAGGCAGCTTCTCAAACTGAGGGTGTGTGTGCTGCCTTGGACTCTCTGCAACTCATGGTAGCTAGACTATCACAGTTGCAATTGCTGCTGCAGTTGCCATCAAATTCCAAGAGCAAGCAGGGCATCTCTCTATGGTGCAGGAAGCACTTCTGCAAGACCAGATGTGACACTCTATTTCACAGGAAGGAGAGAGCAAGTGGCAAACAAGAGGCACATAGCTACAAGTACAGCTATGGATTGTGACATTTGAGGCTAAACTTGTGACTTTTGGGGTGCTGTCAATTTTGAGCAGTGGCAGTTCAGCACACCAGTGAGCACAAAACACATTGGTCATGTGTTGCTCAATCCTCTCTTAAAGGGGTATATACTCACAAGTAGTAGTAGTAGTGTGCCTTCAAGTTGTTTCAAACTTAAGGCATCCCTAAGGCAAACCTATCATGGGGTTTTCCTGGAAAGATTTGTTCAGATGAGGTTTGCCATTGCCTTCCCCCGAGACTGAGAGCATGTGACTTTCCCAAGATCACCCAGTGTGTTTCATGGCTGAGCTGGGAATCGAACCCTGATCTCCCAGAGTTGTAGTCCAACACTCAAAACACTACACCCTGCTGGCTTTGGAACTGTTGCCCCCACCCCAGTTGCCAATGTTGAAATATCATGGGAACTGAAGTCCAAAGTATATGGAGGGTACAAGTTTGGTTAACAAAAATAGTCTTTTTGAAGAACAAAAATAGTCTTTTTGAAGAACGGAAAGAACATTTCCATGCAGAAAGACCATGCCCCTTCCACCCATCAGATGACTCTCTTCCTAGATGTCTTAACACAATTAAAAATACAGCTTCCAGCATCATTACTCCTTTTAGGGGGAAAAAGACCCACTGTGAAGATTCCAAACTCTTGACAGAATTTTCTTCTTCCCCTTCTCCCTTTTGATTTCACCAACAGTGTCAAGCACCTGCTGTGCCTTTGGAAGTAAACCAAAGATGTGCTTAGATAGAGAGCTTTTGGAAGCACAGCACAAAGAAAGGGCTGTGATTCAAAGATCACCACTCTAAGCCTCATGTTAGCTCCTACAGCACTGGCTTTTCATGAGCCACATCAGATTGCTGACAAGACACACTTGCAGGAATATTGTCAAAGCCTTTGTTTAATTTGAGCCAAATGGAAGTACCAATGGCAAGATGACTGTGCCAATATTTCCTCCTGTAACTTGGAAAAGGACATTACATAGTTCAGGAACAGTAATATTCTTAAATCTTGAAAGAAGAATTAATATACCCCTCACACACACACCTTTTAAATGACTTGCACTTGACTGAATGGACAACTGAAATAAGGTTTGTTTGTTTTTTCATTTTCTAGGATCCAGTGTGGTATAGTGGTTTGAGCACCGGACTACGATTCTGGAGACCAGGACTCGAATCCCTGCTCTGCCATGGAAATCCACTGGGTGCCCTTGGACAAGTCACACTCTCTCAGACCCCCACAGGAAGGTAATGGCAAACTCATTCTGAACAAACTTTGCCAAGAAAACCCCATGATAAGGTCGCCTTAGGATCACCATAAGTCAGAAATGACTTGAAGGCACACAGTAACAATTGGCATTACCCAAACACATAAAGCAGGGGTTGGCAAGTTCCCCTTACCTGGGGCCAGTCCAGGGATCCCCTGGTCTTCTGCAGGCTGATGGTGGTGGTGGTGGTGGTGGGGGAATGGCAGCATGCGTGCCTGCTCGCGCAGGCGCAGTACTTCCGGAATACTGCGCATGTGCAAATGAGTTGCGGCCGCCATTTTGGAAAACAAACTGGCAACCATGGCGCGCGTGCGGCGGTGACAATGACCAGTCTAAAGGCCTCAGGGGGGCGGCCCTGGCCCGCGGGCCGTAGGTTGCCGACCCCTGACAAAGGATGCCACATTCAGAGAAGTCTTGCAAACAAGCTAAAGGCACCAGATCCCATCTGATATTGGAAGCTACATACAGTCAGCTCTTGGATGGGAGACTATCAATGAATACCAGGTGCTGTAGGCTATATTTCAGAGGAAAGAACTGGCAAAACCATCTCTTGCTTTAAAAATCCTATGAAATTCATTGGGTCACCATAAGTTGACAGTGACCTGAAGGTACATTCACACACACAGTCAGAGTCTTTGTCTTAAGCAGGGTTTCTGGTGCATGGAACTGAATAATTGAATTGAGATGAAAATATGTAGAATCCTTTTTAAGCCTCCCCTATCAATGCACAGAGGGAAGGAGGGAGTGAAGGGGCAAACATCCCTAGTTTCTCTACTCCTGTACAACAATAAATACATTAACAAGGTTCCTCTTTTTTCCCTTTAAATAAGCATGGTAGTTGAAGTTATGAATGAGATAAAGTTCTTACTTTTCTGGAGCATGTGCAGTGCAAGGTAAAGGTTTGTCTCCTGGATCAACCCATGACTGCGTAGGCTGCACTGTACAAGGTATTAAGTAGATGGTGTATTCTCCTGAGTAGTCTTTCCTGAAATGGAGAAATGCCCAATAGTTTGAAAGAAGGACAAATTGAAAACAAACACAGAAACAGGACAGGCTTCAAAGTTAAGAATAAATAACTTTCTAATAAAGAATTATCTGAATCGCACAGAGGCTACAACAGCAGTTCAAGTCAGAACAAATGATGTCAGTTTTGGATACAGGATACCCCAACAAGTGACTTTTGCATCCTCTTTTTTTATGCTTATAGAAAATAATATTCTCCTAGAACCAAGCCTCCACTTACTCCATTGGATGGCTTTCTTATTGGATTTTCTTAGCAAATATAAAATAAATGGCATTTTATTACCCTGCTGGAAAGTAGAAGACTCATTATCATGACGTCAAACTCCAACAGAATTTATTTTTCCTTTGTCTTTGTGCTTCTGATTTTGCTGCCTGTTGCATCTTCATATGGATTCCTTTCCATATGGAAATGTGGGGATACAACGGCCCTCCAGAGACTTACCATTTTATTTGATTAGAAAAAAGTATCAATTGCTTTTCTCCCTACTAGGACTCCCCAAAACACTGTATAATAAACCATAATTTAAAACTTCTTCAAAAAAGAGATTAAAACTATTTTAAAATCTACTTTTAAAATCCAAATTTTAATTGTTTTCGTATGGTTGGATTGCACGTCTCATCAGCCTCAGTAGAATTGCTGATGGTCAGAAATGATAGGAATTGTAATATAACATCATTTACAGGGTTATAGATTCTGCAATCTCTCCCACAGATGTTCAAAAGACCTCTTTGTACCTCCTCAGGTGTAAAGCTTATGAAATGTATGGGCCTGATATAGAATTCTTAAGAAAATCATGCCGTTTATATGCTGTTCACACCATCCACAAGGTCCCTGGATTCGAAGCACTGAGCCATGGCAGTTAAAGCAGTGTCAAACAGCATTATTTCTGCAGTGCAGATGCAACCATGATGACTTTTAGCTCATTTGATCTCTAGGGTGCCATGAAATCAGCCCTTTCTTTTACCATTTACCATTTAAGTATTTTGCTTCCAAAGCCGCAAAAACTGGCAAGGCCATTGTGTTCAACCCGTCTTTCAAATTCCTTGTTCTACCCATACCATATTCCAGCATCTCACCAGTTCTACTATATGTGGCCCAGCTGGCTGTTTGAATCTATTTTCAAGATTGCTCTGTCCTTACTTTGAATACTTCACAATTTTCTTTCTTACCTGCTATAAGAACTGGTTGCTCTCCAGAGCTGGTAAGGGGAATCAAATGTCTGGCCACTCCATAAAAGCTGCAGGTCAAACTCAATTCCTCCCAGGTGATCAGGGGTCATTATGAAAGACTTTGCATCTGGCAGAGTGTGATGTTCCATCACAAAATGTCCTATGGAGATAAGGAACATAAATGTTGATATTAAAATATTGCTCTCTTTATATAAATATACATATGCAAGCACATATACAAACACACACTTTAGAGCAGGGGTGGGCAACTGTGGAGGTGTGGGGGCTATTTTTCATCCCACCAGAGGCCACACCAATCAGTCCAATGTGACCAGAAGTAATGTCCTATCTATCACTTTTGGTTTCTTTTCAGGCAAGTTCTGGCCATTAAAAAACCCACAATTTTTTTTAACACTGCTTAATGATCTTGAGGCAAAGCTGCAATGTTTTGTGGTTTCAAGTCTTCTGGGGGGCTATTTTGGGATGAAAAGTTGCTCATTAAAGATGTAAAATTTGGAGTTCATGGGGATGCTCAGAAGCCACAAGATGGGGCCTTGTGGGCCACACTTTCCTTCTCCTGTGGATTTTCAAATCAGATGTGGCAAAAGGATGTTTTTTGGGAGAAGGCAACTGTAGTGCTAAGAATCCTCTATGTGGCATAACCAGTGGTAATTTTCCTTGCTTCAAAATGACTCCACATGCATCAACTCATCAATACCTATGTCCAGGTCACTTGACCTGCTGTTGTCCCCCCTCCCCCTGATGTTTTGGATTACAACTCCCATCATGCCCAAGCCATATAGGTCAATTATCAAGGCAATAAGTCACCCTCCCCTGCATATGGTTAAGGACAGCAGCTAGTACTCAGGAGATATACAGACTCTTATGGGACTTCTGTTAGGGATGAGGCAAAACTCCATCCAACTGAAATCTGGTTTGCTGCTATGGCTTCTGGAAAGGGCAGAAGACTTTTTGAAAATTCAAAATGGATTCATGAGATGTCATTTCCTGATGAGCTCTGAGGCTTCTCTGGAAATAAATTGGATGACCTGCACTAATTTCCCAAAATCTCCAGTGCAGAGAATGGGAAGTGGTCATTGTCCCTTGGACCTCTCTATTCTGATGTGCCAACATTATGAGATTGGATTGGTCCCCAAATTTAGAGTCATAATTCTGCCTTCCCACCTTGTTACTTCCAGAGAATGTAGCCTCTTGGCCATCTATGAGTTCAAAGGTATTACCCTAGCACAAGTGAAGAAGACCTTTGAGCATATGGAAAGTGCCTTTTTTTAAGCATTAAAAATCTAGTCTTTATTTATTCCCATCTGTGATAATGCATAAGTACCAGAGATTGCAGGACAGAAAGTGAGATGTTTTTCCAAACAAGCTTTCAACCCCCCAAGTTTGCAGAAATTCAGGTGCCAGTACTTACCTCTGAACTTGGCATGAGTTTTGAACTCAATGACCAGCCGGCCATCCTCTCGAATGTAGATTCTTATGATCTGAAGCCTGGCTGAAAGGACACTGTCTGTCTGAATACCTGCAAGAGACCACAAAACTAGGTGAAGAAGGATTATGAATCAAATTTCAGTAGCTATGGCAAAAAGAGAGAAATGGCAGGAATCAAATCAGCTTTATTTCTGTAGTGAAGATCTAGTTGCCCTGTTATCAGTACATTCCTCCTTCCACTTTGCAGTTTTTGATTCTGATAAGGTTCACTTATATATTTAGACAGCATATTATTCTAAGCACACTTGCTAGTAAGCCAAAATCTACACAGTGACTGAATAAACATACACTGTTTGGCTTGGCTTAATTGCAGAGCATGGAAAAGTTATTTTTTGGACCACAACTTCCAGAATCTCCAGGCCACCATGACCAGGGATCATGATGAATGGGGGATTATGGAAGATGTAGTCCACTACATCTCCTTCCCAACTCTACTTATATATTTCCATGGTGGTAGAATTCAAAGATGTAGTTGTGTTAGTCTGGAAAATCAGTATGCAAAAGGAACTTGTAGCAACTTTGAGACTAACTGAAAGAGAAAGGTTGATAGTATGAGCTTTCATAGACCTTGAACCCACTTCCTCAGGTGCTACAAAATCCCTCTGCATACTTACATATTTCCTGTACTTCTTCCATGGTAGAGTTCAATGTAGCAAACCAAGGTTTCCGAGCAAACAGTCAACCATCCAGATTATGATCATAGAATCATAGAATCATAGAATCATAGAATCATAGAGTT